ATATGCTTGTAAATTTGTATGGAAATTCAAAAGGCCTATTATAGCCAAACAGTTTTGAAAAAGGAAAACCAAATAAAAGGAGTCTGACAACCTCATTTTTTTTGGTCAGTAAATTGGAGTAACACAGGCAATTTGATATTGATATATGGATGGGCATAATGATTAATAGAAAAGAGAGTATACAGAGTGTAGACCTGAGCACAGGTAAACAGTTTTCAAAAAAGATGCCCAATGCAGCTCAACAGGAGAAAAGATACAGATAGCCTATTCATATATGGTGTACAAACAGTTGAGTATCTATTAAAAAGCACAATTTTGACCCTTACCTCACACATATAAACAAACGGCTGAAAATAGAAAATATAGTCCTAGAAATCCTTTAGTATTGGGTCAAGCCAAGATTTTTTAGATATTAAAGCAGGAGGCAAAATATTGAATATTTCTCAAAATGAACTTTTTCAGAGAAGCCTACATATGCAGGCAAAAACACATGCTTCAGTCTGGGAGAAAATATATTTAAAAAATTTATATCTGGTTAATAACTTGTTTACAGGTTATTTAAAGAAATTTTACAACTCAAATTATGAATACACAAATAGGCAAATTAAAACTAAAATGTAAAAAGTAGAGATATGCATACGTACTTCAAAAAATAGAAAATATGTAAATAATTCAAATTAATATAAATATATTTATTATATGTAAATACAAACAAAATAAGTATCTGAAATGATGTGAAGCATTAATCACCAGAGAACTGCCAATTTAAACCATAGTGAAATCTATATGCATACTAGAATGTTGTGAATAAAAAAATGACAGTATCAAATATTGATACAAATGCCCTCATATATTGCAGATATTACTGTAAAATGACCCAACCTCTTTGTAACATTTCAGCATTTCATCATGAAGTTAACTGTACATTTACCCAGCAATCATACTACTAGATCAGAAAGATCTGCACATGAATGCTCATAATAGTTTTATTCATAATAAAAATTCAAAATGATGATGAATTGATAAATAATTCTAGGGAAAAGTTGGAATACACAACAGCATGAATGAATCTTAAAAGCCTTATCACATAAAAGTATTCACTCTATTTTTCTGTTTGTATAAGATTCTGCAAAATTACAACTATAATGAGAGCAAAGAAGTGGACAAGTCCTTGGAAATTGTTGTCATACTTTAGATCAGGAAAAAGTGAATGTAGTACTGGAAAAAATATCTTCATAGAATCTATTTGAAAACAGTGAAGCAAATATAGTGGTATAGACTTGGCTTTGTAAAGAGCTGATGTTGCCAAACTACTTCAGCCCCCTCAGTTACTAAATTGTCTGGTGCTTAACCAGAAGCAATCAGCACAATGCATCTTAGCCCTGGTTGCAAATTTTGATTTAGTCAAATATGAAACCCTTGCCACTAAAATTGGAAAATATGGCCTACAATACCAGATACAGCTCTAGCTGAGAAATGTTAACTAAATTACTCTGGCATGCTGTGGTGAACAGAAGAAAAACATGAGCATGGCAGGAGAGGAAACACACATCTGAACTAGGATAATGAATGCATGTTGTCTTTAGGAAATTTTCATCAAACAGTTTATAGAACATGAGGTCAAAAGTAAGTGTATGTTTGAGGTGTGTGTGTATGGGTGTTGAGAAGTTGAAAAATAGAGCCAGAAAACAATGGGCCTGATAAGGTCGTTAATAAGCCAGGATAAAGAGCAGGCCCTAACTCTTGAATTCCTTAGAACCATAAAAGAAGTACTGACCAGATAGAAGACAGCTGGTGCTAGAGCCTACATCAACTTGCTCCTAGCCCAGGGTTTTTCAGCTCTATTACTTGCAATTAAATGTGCAAATACTGTATTGAGAAATAAACGTAGAAAATGTTGAAGTAGACCATTTGGAGCTCCATTGTCATGCTGGAGAAGTTTGTATACATTATATCTTGATTCAGAAAGGAGCCACCTTGTTAGAAATTAGAAAAACGTAAAAGTAGAAAAATTGGTGCTGCTGAGCTTAGAGAACTGAGAAATGAGCAACAGTTGGTGCTGAACTAGGACTAAGCAGGTTTCTGGGTGACCTCAGGCAAGTCCTGTTGGTGCCTTACTTTTCTTATCTGTGAGTCTGGGGTAGTAATATAAGTCCTTCATCTGTTATCTCAAAGTCTGAAATTCAAAGACCTCTGAAACCCCAGAATTGATTTGTTTTGTTTAGATTTCCTAAATTTGTGAAATCCAGCCCCAACTCATAGGCTTCACATCACTTCCCCATGAGTATGAATATTTATGAATTCTGCAGAAATGTTCCTGTGTGATCATCCCTCCTGCAGGTGTTTATAATGTACACTATGTGAACTCTCCTCCCTTTCTCAAATCCAAACTATCCCGGATTCCGAAACTTCTGGCCCCAGAGTCTTCAGATTAGAGACTGTGTACCTGCGATTCCTTCCTCAAAAGGTTGTATGGGGATTAGATTACTAGCAACAGACCTCTGTAAAGGATGAAGCCATGTGGTGCTTCAGAAAGTGCATGGAAAATAGGATTAAGAGATAATTTTATTTTGTTACAAGAATTTTTTTTTTTCACAGAGTTAGGACAGTGAGAGAAAGAGACAGAGAGAAAGATCTTCCTTCCGCTGATTCACCCCCCAAATGGCTGCTATAGCCAGCGCGCTGCACTAATCCAAAGTCAGGAGCCAGGTGCTTCCACCTGGTCTCCCACGCAGGTGCGGGGGCCCAAGCACTTGGGCCATCCTCCACTGCCCTCCCGGGCCACAGCAGAGAGCTGGACTGGAAGAGGAGCAACCAGGACTAGAACCCGGTGCCTATAAGGGATGCCAGCACCAAAGGCAGAGGATTAACCAAGTGAGCCACAGTGCTGGCCCCAGAATTTTTGAAATCTATGTTTTTCCATATTATGTTTTCCGTGAATTTCTAAAGGCTTCTCATATGCATGCATTTCAGTTATTTTTGTGCCAAGTAAACATCTTTATATTCCATTTTCCATGAACATTTTGAAGTAGCCTGGTAGCATTTATTTTATTTAAACTCAGAAATTACATTACCTGTGCCCATACCTGAGAATGAGTGAGAATTAGTATTTGACAGCACCCAACCTCATTCTTAGTATTTTTATATTCAGTTTGTCAAGCTTGATTGATAGTATATTAATTCTTGAGATGGAACATTTCCCTTAAGAAACTGTCCTGCTCTGAACACCTATTCTTCGTGTTTGCAATCTTTACATTCTTGGAAGAATAGCTTATTTGCCTTCAGGTGGGAGTTGACCAAATTATTTTTTAGTCAGCTTTCCTAAAGTCCATCTTGTGAAACTCATGGTTACATTATGTATCACCCATCTGCTAACTAAAGTACAAATAGATATGCTTATTTTCCTGCAGTTTTCAGTAAAAATGAGATCTTAATATGCCCTAAAATGATATCTATGGTAAAAAAAAATATATCATTGATTAAAAACAGAAGAGCAAAAACATGCATTTAGATCTCATTCTGGGTTTCCAAGTAGAATTTTATTTTTGTGGCTGACTTTTGGCATGTTTCCTGTTTCTTCAAGCTATATAAAAACCTTTTGCTGTGTTTAATCCTTGGCCTTTGGGCATGGAGAATGGATTTTGCAATACTCTTCTTGTATTGGGAAATTTTAACTGAAAATTTCGTGTATTGAAATACTTAGGAGAAAAGGAAATATAATTCAAATAAATATTATGTTTCAAAAGGCAGCAATAAAGTAGTTGTTTTAAATGTGCTTTTGGGTAGGATATTTGCCTTTAATCAGAGTTGAGGTGGGGCCTATCAATAATGAATCTCTGGCTCCTGCTCCCCTGTGTCTTTCCCCTGGGAAGATGTTGCTGCCAATTTATGATTGCAACCTGTGTGTGTGTTTACCCTTTGTTTGGATAAGTGTTACTAGGTGCTCCACTCTTGGCCAGCAGTTTCAGTGCCTGGGTGGTTTCACCCCAGCATCTGAGTGAGGAGGAATGCAGGGATGGGGCACTGACCCAGAGAACAGCGGTGATCAGGTTTAATAGAGTGTAAGGATTAGAATGGAGACTTCTGTTCTGCTCTGGAGGTGGGAAAGAGAAGCACCACAGGATGAGACTTTTTTTTTCCTGTTTGGGTCTAGGATTCAGGTTTTCTCCACTCGATTTTGCTAATTCTACATCCAGCCGACCACCGCTGAACTTCCCCTCCTGAAGAATAAAGACTGGGAAGGAAACATTTCACTCAACTTATGTGTAAAAAAAAAAAATCTGTGTCTGGACCTTTTGGTGCCATGGTTAGCTGTGTTACATTAGACCTGTTTTTGGCAAAATGTAGGACTAAATGGCCCCTTCCAACTCTTGCATTCTCTTACATTGTGATGATGTAAGATAAGTGTAACAGTCTGAGGGAACTATTGCTTTGCAGTTTTTCTAGCCAGCTAACCACAGATCAAATCTCTTCACTCTCTGCCAGACAGTCCATTCTTTAAAAAAAAAGAAAAAAAAAAGTTCTGTGAACTCTAATTCCTATGAATTTCTCTAGAGTATTCTATAAGGGCAAGGTTAATTATGATCTGCTAAGCAAAATCAGTTTTTTTTTTATTGTTTGCTATCCCTCAGTACCCAAAAACATTGTTTTTCTATTTAGTTTCTGGTAATGAATGAAGCTTCCCATTCCCATGATATTCTTTTAAACTTCAGTTTCATCCTACAGAGAAGGTAACAGGCAATAATGACATAAGTATGTTTTGGTAAATGTCAAACATTTTTGTAACCTAAGAATTAATTTGAAATCACATAAAATTATCCATTGATTAATGAATATAAACTTCCTCTTCTAAGATAGCCAGAGAGTAGAGTAGCCCATGGTAAACGTGCAGCTATAAAGGCTATGAACGTGGATCGATTTCCGTTGTTCTGATTTTGAGTATAACAGTATCTCCTGTTGCTTCTCCCGTTTTCTCCACCCTCGGCCCCATCTCCAAGCAGTATTCCACTGAACTGAAGAAACTGTACTGCCAGATTGCAAAGACTTGCCCCATTCAGATCAAGGTGATGACCCCACCTCCACAGGGCGCTGTCATCCGTGCCATGCCTGTCTACAAGAAAGCTGAACATGTCACCGAGGTGGTGAAACGGTGCCCCAACCATGAGCTGAGCCGTGAATTCAACGAAGGTAATGAGAATTGGAATCAATAGCCAAAGATCCTGTTGCATTTTTGTTTGCGACCTACCTGCCTGATTCAGAGTTCTGCTATCTGATGGCAGCTCAGTTTGCCTGTTTTGCTAACAGAGTATCTAATAATAATGATAAATACATGTGTGGCTATTACAATGGTTGAACTATTTAATTTAATATTGATAATTACTATATAACCTAGACTGGTCTCTATTCCCATTCCCCTCCTCCTTCCTTCCCTTTGTTCTTTTTTCCTCCTTGCTTTTGCTTTTCTTTAAATGAAAGGGTATAAAGAGAGGAATGCGATGGCTAGTCTGGTTGCCTCAGGCTACAGAATCCTTCATCTTCTGTGTCTTTCTCAACATGATTTTCCCAAATGTAAACTGGTAGAGAATTGGATGGCTAAGAGGAAGCATCATAAAAAGAGAGAAATGATTTAAAAAGGAAAAAAGTAGGTAAGAAGAAAAATAAATGAGAAAGTAAAAAAGTAGATAAGAGTAAAAAATAAAGAGCTGGAATATCAGCTGGAAGGAGCAATTGAAGGACTGGCATTCCAGGAGCAGGGATTTCAGGGCCAACATGGGTATGCCATGCCCCATCTCTGAGCCTCAGATCCAGCCACAACCTGGCAGAAGTCTCCATTTCCAAGAGTTCCCATAGATCTAATATTCTTGTTCTATGAAGGGGAGACTTGGTAGAAAATACAGAAAAGTGGAAAGGAAGGGGTTGAGAAGGCATAAGGAATCAGCAAAGACTGGTGAGAATACAGGAAGGGATGGGGTATGTCAGGGGAAAAATATTAAACTATTAAGGATCATGAGGTCTAAATACAAAGAAAATAACAGGTGATAGAGAAAATTAATAGAAGAAAAATGCAATAGCTTGAAATTTAAAAAGAGAAATAGTCATAACAGAAATATATTACACATTAATTTCTTTTTTCTTTTTTTTTTCTTGTTGTTAGATTTATTTTATTGATTTGAAAGGCAGAGTTACAGAGTGAGAGGAAGGGACAAAGAGTGAGAGAGAGAGACACAGAGAGAGAGAGAGAGAGAGAGAGACAGAGATCTTTCATCCACAGGTTCACTCCCCAAATGGCTGCAGTGGCTGGAGCTGGGCTGGTCCAAAGCTAAGAGCCAAGAGCTTCTTCTGGGTCTCCCACTTGGGAGCAGCGGCCCAAATACCTGGGCTATCTTCTGCTGCTTTTCCAGACATATTAGGAAGGAGCTGGCTGGGAGATAGTGTAGCTGGAACTAGAACTGGTGCTCATATGGGATGCCAGCATCTTAGGCAGTGGCTTTACCAGCTACACCACAATGTCGGCCCCTCTCATTTTTTTAAAAAAAGATTTATTTATTTATTTCAAAGGCAGAATTACACAGAGAGAAGAAGAAGCAGAGAGAGAGAGAGAGATCTTTCATGCATAGGTATAAGTTCATTCCCCTAATGGCTGCAATGGCCATTGCCAGACCAAACTGAAGCTAGGAGCTTCATCCAGGTCTCTCACATCGGGGTAGGTTTCCAGTCATTTGGGGCATCCTCTGCTGCTTCACCAGGTGCATCAGCAGGGATCAAAAGTGGAACAACCAGGACTCAAGCTGGTGCCCATATGGGATGCTGGTGTTGCGGGTTTTGACTTAACCCGTTACACCACAACACCAGTCCCTGTTTTCTCATATTTCTCATAATAGAAAATATTACAGAAAATAATCTTGGTACACTTTGGTTTTTATTTAAAGTAGTTTTTCCCCCCTTCATGGAGCAATCATTTATTTTTATTTATTTATTAAGACAGAGAAAGGGACAGAGATCTTCCGTCTGCTCTTTCACTCCCTAAATGCCCTTAATAGCGGGGCTTGGCAAGGCTGAAGCCAAGAGCCTGGAACTCAACCCACATCTCTCTCATGGGTGTCAGGGACCCAAGTACTCAAGTCATCACCTTCTGCCTCCCAGGAGGCCCATTAGCAGGACACTGGAATCTGAAGTAGAGCTGGAACTCGAATCCAGTCACTCTAACATGGGATGTAGGCAACCCAAGTGATGTCTTGACTGCTGTTCCAAACACCCACCCCGCTTACCCTTTTCCTTTTACTGAAGAGTTTTCATAGAATGCAGCTGTTCACTTGGCCAAAGGAGGAGGACAGCTCTATGGCACTCAAGCCTTGGAGAAACTTCTTTCTTTTGGGGTTCCACTAAGCATCACACTTTCGTGAAACTTTGATCTCTTCTGTAAACTTGGTTCCTCCTCTTGTTGCCAACCTGGAATTCCTTAAGCATAATAAAATCACCAAGTTTTTTTTTTTTTTTTTTTATGACCTCTACAAGTCTGAAGATGGAGGAAAATAATAAACAAAGGAATACCGTGTGATTTATTTTCTGTTTCTATTATTTTTGCTTGTCAGAATTTTTGGCAGCATATTCTTATTCCAACTGATCTTTTGTAAATTAACTTGTCCCCTTTCTTCCATTTTCCTGGGAAGTTGGCAAAATTTCCTCCATGAATAAGGACAACAATGAAGTCATAGAGTTCTACAAAGGCTTATATCCTTAGCCTTAAATTCCAAAGCATAGGACTGTTCCATTAAAAACAGACAAGAATCTCGGGCATTTCTGTTGGTAAAAAAGCTGAGATATCTTCATGTGAAAGATATCTGGCAACAGTAACTGTTCCTTTTTTCAATTATGTGTATTTCCTTTATTACACAGGTCATTTCTTGACCATCAGAAACTGTCCATGCAATTTCATTTTGGTTTCTTTATCTTCCGAGTAAGGAACTAATTATTTTGTCTTTTTCTATATTTGCAGGACAGATTGCCCCTCCTAGTCATTTGATTCGTGTGGAAGGGAACAGTCACGCCCAGTACGTAGAAGATCCCATCACAGGAAGACAGAGTGTGCTGGTACCTTATGAGCCACCCCAGGTATAATAATAATAATAATAATAATAATATGTGTATATGTATAATAAGCATATAATGTGTATATGTATAATTATATATGTATATAACATGTATGAGAAAGCATTCATTGTAGTTACGGAGAATGTTTTTAACATCTATTACTATCTTAATCCTTGTCATCAAATATATGACTTTTTGTAGTTCTTCTCTCCCATTGCTCCACATGCCTCCCACCCTCCAAAATTCCAACACTGGTACTGAATTAACTTGGTAACAAGACTCTGTGCCCATGTCCCTATCTTAATGGCAAATCATAATTGAACCAGCAGCTTGATTTACATATAACTCTGTTTTATCTAACTGGAAATTAAACTGGTAGTGGATATTCAACAATACTGTATGGAAGTATTCTTACCCTAGTCTGGAAATGGGAGTTCCTCAAAGCAATTATTCTTTTGAACATGGTGATTTATTTTATGCAGTTGTTTAAATTCGTTGCTTAAAAATTTTCAAAAAGCAATTTAAAAAACATTTAAAAATATGTTTTTCTGACTTAATGGTGATCACTTAAAATAAGCAAGTCACCAGACATTTTCAAGCCATTCATGACACTATTACCCTAAATTTTAAAATTCCAAAGCACATTCACTATGTAGTAAGATTAGTTTTCCTCTAACAATATGCTTCATGAAGATTATTACTTGGTAGGGCCCTACAAAGTTATTCAAACTTAATTCATATAAACTGAAAACTAGAGAGATAAAGGAGCTGAAATAGAGCAGTTCTCTCCAGAAAGTTTGTAAAATTTCTTCTTCTAATCTGTTAAAATTTGTTTCAACTCAGATATAAATAACTCCTTTTTTTTAATCAATAGAACTTACACTTTGTGTAAAATACACCACTAATTGTCCCCCAGATTTCTCAAGTAAAGTTCTGTCAGGTCTACTGTAAGGAAGTAGAGATATGAAGCAGAGTTTTGCTGTTTGTTTTTGAGAAAAGGGTGAGTGGTGACAGGATCAATAATTATAGATGTAAAAATAGTTTTAAAAACTAGATTTTTAAACAAGACAAGTATCCTGAGAGCCAGCAGGCATTATTCTTAAACGTTCACTTTCAGTCTTATAGGGAAACCTATAGTTAATTAAGCCAAATTAACCTTATGAAGGTAGCCTTAAGAGTAACTAGAAAATAGAAGTTAGCTATAAAAGATATAAAGAAGGGTGTTAACACAAAGAAACAGAAATTATCAAAGACAGGACAATGGTCTCACAAACTGAAACTTTAAATTAAGAATAAAAGGTTAGATGGGATCTAATACACTGAGGATTCTCTCAAGTACAGTAGTGCCTAAATCTGGTAACAATGGTTTGATAGGAAGTATGAAGTTGATACTCAAGAAATTATGGAAAATAACCATTTAGCAAATCTAATGTCCAAGTTTAATTATCATATTCAAAAAATATTAAAGACTGGTTAGTGATTTATTTTTGAAGCTTAATACAGTAACAAAATCTCCTCTGAAGTTTAAGGTATTTGGAAAGAAACTCTGGGACAAAAATCTGCCTTGTATCTATGAACTTGCCATTAGAGAATATAAGGATACTGTCAAAGCAATTTCTTAGCTGAAGTTTGAATGAACAGATGGCACATTTGTATGCTGTTTAAAGCAGAATGGTGTGGTAAATACTACACACCATAGTAATAGAAAGAGCAAGGATCTTTGGTTTGCCAGTTTATGATGATCTTTGGTGTGTGACTCCCCTTCGCTAGGCTCCAATTACCTTGATCAAAAATGAGCAACTTTTACTAGATGATTTAATTCTCAGGACCATTTGAGCTCCAGGGTGTTATTCATGGAAGTATATATTCAAATATATGTTATTCTGTTTTATCTACATTGAGAAAATGTTTGGAGTATTACTGCTAATTTTGGCAATTTTTTTCAACCCTTCCTTTTCTTCGATATTTGCCTATGTGGTAGGGCCTATTTGAATTGTATGATACAGATCAGATTGCCAATGAACTGAGTCAAAGATCAATTAAATTCTATCTCATTTAATGCTATCTGCAGTATTGGGAACCTCAGCTTTAAGCTTTTCAGGAGGCAAGGCCAAGAGAAATAGACGAAATGGATTTCAAAATTTACCTTCTTAGAGGAAATCATGCCACTTCATCAGAAATGGAATTCTTTAAGTAGAGGCGAGAACTGAGAAGGCAGAAGATCAGTTCAACTTACTTTAACACAGGTTTCTTTTCCCCCCTCTGCTCAGGTCGGCACCGAATTCACGACAGTCTTGTACAATTTCATGTGTAACAGCAGTTGTGTTGGAGGGATGAACCGCCGACCAATTTTAATCATTGTTACTCTGGAAACCAGAGAGTAAGTGGCATATGTAGAACTGTAATTCTACTAAAATTTCATGGGCAGAGGGCAAAGTGAAATTGTCTCTGCTTTATCATTAACTTTGCAAGTACAGCAGAGAGCTATTCCTGATTTTGTCCTTTATGCTTTAAATCTGTGCAGCGAACTCATATATAAAAGATCTAAGAAAGTGGAGACAGAGGAGGGTGGATGAAGACAGAAGTGGGAGAACGAGCTGGGAAGGTGTGCAAGTCACTTCATACCTAAATTCTTGACATTTGACTGCAATTGTTTCTGATTAGACAGTGTTTGTTTTCATGTGGACCCCAAGGCATTTAGCAGTTTCTTTGAATAAGTCTGGGCTGCCTTAGGGGGTTTTATCCCGACACATCCAGTGGCTTAACTCAAGTTTCCTTCAAAATTGTAGCTAAATACAGCTGTTCAGCTAATGAATTGGAGGTCCTTTGCAGAACAAATGGAATGCTATTTACTAATATTGCTTGTGGCAGATGAACACTTTGTGTTTTGCCAAGTGCTTTTTGGTCCATCCTCAGAGAGACTGTGAGTGAGCTGGTGGTTAATAGCCAGGAGAAGAAATAGAAATGGGAGAAACCCAGGGGACCTTTAAAATTCTTTCCAATGAACTCTTTCTCTCCTGTCTTCTCTTACTCCCAGTGGGCAAGTCCTGGGCCGGCGTTGCTTTGAGGCCCGGATCTGTGCTTGCCCAGGAAGAGACAGGAAAGCGGATGAAGACAGCATCAGAAAGCAGCAAGTGTCGGACAGCACAAAGAACGGTGATGGTACGAAGCGCCGTAAGTAGATGTAGTGGCCAAGTCGGGTAGGGTCGTGCCTTCTCCAGACAGTGGGGGGAGGGGGGAGCTGATATAGAGAAAACTTATGATGAGACCTGTGAGGTTTAGCAGCACTGAGACCCCAGAGTCGGTGGGAATAGGTGTAGCGTTGGTGGAGGTACTGCAGTGGACTCCGGGTGCACTCTGTGTGCTAGAAAAAGCAAGTAGTCAGTTTTCAGGGTTTTTTGGGACAGAGTTCTCATAATGTGACATGCTATATCAATAGCGTTATCTGAAAACTAGGTGTAAACACAATTCTGAGGTCCCATCATGCTGTCTAAGAAATACTAGATGTATTAGATGAGAGACCTATTCATCTGTGTCTAGTAAGCTCTCCAGGTTATTTTGCTCCTAGTTAAAGATGGAGAATCAGTATCTTACCTGTTGGTATCAACTTATCTTTCTATGACTAAGCATAAGACTTTAAAATAGCACCTGCCTACCTCATGACTCTATGGGGATAGTGAGATTCAAGGACATATTTCCTGAAGCATAGTCTGGAGAGTATGCAGATCTGAATTCCATTAACTCTTGACTTTATAGGCATGACTCTCTTGAGGCCTCTGTTACTTCAGCAGCTGTTTTCCAATTTGCTCTTTTTAATCAATGAAAGATTTTTTAATGAAGTGTCTCAAAGAGCATGCAGTGCAAAATAAGTGAAAGCAGAGCTACTCCAGTTGAGGGGGTGGGGGTTGGGATGGCCTCTGGTTCTAGGCTCTGCCCTCAGCCACAATTTACTGATGACATGAACCTCTACAGAGCCTAGAAATCTGGGTCATGATATTTGAAAACCACTGATCCACACGTGCTTCTAATTTGTGTTACAATTTCCAAAGCAAGTACCTTGCATAAACTTGATTTCACTACAAGTATTTTAAAGTACATCACACAATGACTTAGTTTATGAAAAAGTTTTAATCATCAGTAAATGTTAACATCCCGAATAAATTAAAAAATCATAGGAGAACCTATCACATCAGGTTTTAACTGTTCATTGTGACATGCTTTTCCTATTAGAACGTTTCTCTCTCCAATCATTCCTCAAAAAGTCAAATATATTTTATATATTTGATAAAATTATTTTAACTTTAAGTTTGCCTGGAAAGATAATTTCTGAACTCTTCCCTGGACTCCCCAATAATTTACAAGTTAATTATTTTCAGTAAGAAGAAATTATCTGCATTTTTGTAAAAGGTTCATCTCTACTCTTTCAACCTTGGATACAGTTTATAATTTAGAAAATCATGATAATTGGCCAGTGCCACGGCTCACTTGGCTACTCCTCCGCCTGCGGTGCCAGTACCCTGGGTTTGGACACCGGATTCTGTCCCGGTTGCTCCTCTTCCAGTCCAGCTCTCTGCTGTGGCCCGGGAGTGCAGTGGAGGATGGCCCAAGTGCTTAGGACCTGCACCCACACGGGAGACCAGGAGGAAGCACCTGGCTTCTGGCTTTGGATTGGTACAGCACACCGGCTGTAGCAGCCATTGGGGGGGGTGAACCAACGAAAGGAAGACCTCTCTGTCTCTCTCTCTAACTCTGCCTGTCAAAACAAACAAACAAACAAAAAAAGATCATGATAATTTACTACTCATTAATTCAGTCACTTGACCAAGACTATTTCTACAATACACATTTACCTCCATGGAGATGAATGACCTGAAAAAGAAAACACAGAACTAATTTCTCTTCCTTTTCTTAACAGCTATTCGCAGATAACCCTGAGCAAGACACAAGTTTTGCTGTAGCATTACTTAAGCCAAAGGCCATTTCTCAGTGTCCTGATTTTTCCCCTTTGATTTATTGCTCCCTACCTTGTTATTCCTAAGATTACACTTAATGTAAAAGCAATTATCACCAATTAAATGGATGCTTAAGAGTAGAATCTCTGATCTCACAAATGTTGCTGGTGCTAATGCCTGTTTAATATGTATTTAATATTAATGTTTAGTTAGTGAATGAGTTTAATATGCATTACTGCTTTAGAAACGTTCCCAGGATGTAACTGGCATTTTTCCCCTGCCAGCCTTTCGTCAGAACACCCATGGCATCCAGATGACATCCATCAAGAAGCGAAGATCCCCAGATGATGAGCTGTTATACTTACCAGTGAGTGTCTCTCGGGTGTCCCCTGTTTTACTTCAGTTTAACCTTCTTTGAGGGAGCTTTTCCTATATGGTCAACTTCCAGTTACTTTTTAAAATGACAAAAGAAGTGTCTTAGCTGGGACAGCTACAACAAACTACCATAGACAGAGGTCATAAACAACAGAAATTTATTTCTTACCGTTCTGGAGGCTGGAAGGCCAAGATCAAGGTGCCAACCTAGACCAGTGTGGGCAAACCCTTGTGATTTGCAAACTTCCACCTTCTCCTGTGTCCTTACCTAGCTGGTAGAAGGCTAGGGAGCTCTGTAGGGTCCCTTTTATAACAGTCTTAATCCCATTCATAAAGACTCCACCCTCATGAACCATCCAAAGACCCCACATCCTAATCCCATCATGTCTAAAGTTAGGATTTCAATGTATGAATTTTGAAAGGGAAATAAATATTTAGTGTCTAATGATGTAGGTTAATAAGGTAAAGTAAAAAGAATATATTTTTTTGAAAAACCAGGAAAGTCAGGCATTTGGCTAAGTATAGTACTGTAGTAGTTAGGTTACCTCTTAGGATGTTTAAGTTTGTGTTCCAGCACCACATCTGATTCCAGCTTCCTGATATTGCAAAACCTGCGAGGCAGCAGGGATGGCTCAAGTGCTTGGGTCCCTGTCACACATGTGGGAGACCTAAGTTGAGTTCCCAGCTGCTGGATTTGTCCGGACCAGCCCTGGCTATTAAGGGTATTTGGGAAGTGAAGCAGCAGTTGGAAGCTCTGCCTGCCTGTCCGTCCGTCCTTTGGTCTCACTCTGCCCCACGCCAAAATCTCTTTCAAATAAATAAATAAAAATCAAGAACTTTTCCTTTGTTTCCATAATTTTAGAATATATAAATAGAATGAGCTCCCCTTCTTACCTATCAAACCAATCAGAGCTTCTTTCACAAAACAATTTTTCTTACACAAATGTTTAAAATGAATTTGTACTTATTATTTTAGAATAAGATTATCCTAGACAGCATGGTATAAATTTTGTCAGAAAGCGTTCACAAAGATAATAACACAGCAATTCTAGAAAGTTGATTGGATTTCTTTTAAGGAGTTCTATGAAAAACAGCAGGGTCCTCTGTAGTATGTACATAGCTAGAAGGCTCAATCCTGTTGCTCTGTAGCATTATTCACTTCTACAGAGAACATTGTCCCTCTCAGGGTCAGCAGTAAGGTTACTTTATATTAGACTATGTTTCCAGTTGGTTGAATTCTTGTTAACTTAGGTCTCTGGTGTCTAGAGTGGCAATAAAGTTTTGGTGACAAGAATAGCCCTTGATGCCATCTACACTGACATGAGACACAGGCAAGCAGGGTCAGGAAATCTATGAAATGCCTCCCTGGAGTTGAAATTAAAGCAACTCAACAGGTTTGGGTGTGCCTCTCCTTTATATCTACCTTCTTTGGGTCATAATTCTCAAGGAAATATACTGCTGGTCAACCAACTGTACAGTGAGTTACCTAAGATTCTGCATGTCTTGTATCTGAGGCTGTGTATAGAAACTGATTTGAGAGTTTTCATTAAAATATTATCCTGATGTATTGAATATTCCAAAAGATGCAATATGTTTTCAGATGATCAGACAGTAACTATCTGAAAAATGTTCTAAAATCATTTATTTATTTGTTATTTACTTGAGAGATGCAGTCGGGGGGGTGGAGGAGAGAAAAATAGACAAAGAGAGAGAGAGAGAGAGAAATTTCCCTTCTACTGGTTCATTTTCCAAATACCTACTATGGCTAGAGCTGAGCTGGGAGCTGAAACTGAATCCAGCTCCCCACATGAGTGGCAGGAACCCAATTACTTGAGCCATCATCTTCTGCTTCCTATGGTGAACACTAGCTGGAAGCTGGATTCACAAGCCAGAGCTAGGGATTTAGTCCAGGTGTTCTGATGTGGGGCATGGGCACGTTAACCCATGTCTTAACCATTAGGCTAAAGACTTATCCCTGAAAATCTATTGTTAATAACCTATTTTTCAGCTTGTACTCTTGACAGAGGTGCCATGTAATGAGTTATATATATATTTTAAAATTATTCAGTTATTTATTTGAAAGGCAGAATTACAGAGAGGCAGAGAAGAGAGAGAGAAGGAGAGAGAGAGATCTTCCTTCTGTTGGTTCACTCCCCCAAATGGCCACAACGGCTGGAGCTGGGCTGATCAGAAGCCAGGAGCCAGGAGTCCACCAGGTGCAGGGGCCCAAGCACTTGGGCCATCCTCCACTGCTTTCCTAGGCTGTAGAAGAGAGCTGGATCAGAAGTGGAGCAGCCAGGACTTGAATCGGTGCCTATATTGGATGCTGGCACTGCAGGCAATGGCTTTACCTGCTATGCCATAGCACTGACCCCATGAGTAATATCTTAAGTTTAGTCAAGAACTAGCCAAACCAAAGTATGTGGGAAAAAAATTACTAATTTGGCATGTATTTTTCTGGTATTTGCTGAAAGGTAGATAGTTTAGACGTTGAGCACTTAGAGATCTCTAGGACCCAACTCTTACTTTGAAAGAGTTTGCCTTATACTGAGGACACAGACAGCAATACATGATGAAATAAGTACTAGGCATAGAATGTAGGGTATACAAGCAGAGTGAAAGGTGCAGACCAAAACTGCACAGTCCGGGAAAGCTTCACAGAGAAAGGTTCCCAAGGCTGGAATGAGGAGGAGATGAGGAGGAGGTAATCCAACCAAATTAAGAAATGTTTCCATTTCTGAATTCTGACATGTTCTGCCTCTTGTCCTAAGGGTAGGGGGTGGAGTAGGGTGGAGCGGCCTGGAGTGAGGTAGGTAAAACGTCCAGAATGCATGATGTAGATGGCATTTCACTCAGGGCTCTGCAGGGCTTTGCTTGCCTCTCCGTGAACCTGGTCCTACTTGTACTTTTTAAAACTCCTAAGAGACTCATTTTCTCGAGGCTGAAAACTTTTTCTCTTTCCATAGATAGAAGTAGTTGATTCTCATTTTTCATGATAATTATGTTTGACAAAGTTGCTACAAAAACTGAATTCATTAATACTGAGTAATTGCTTCTAGGGACAACACAGAATTAGGTTGCTGTGAGCCTCTGGTCTCAACATTTTGTTACCAGATCAGCGCATAACTTTCTTTTATGTGTGTTTCTGCTGAATGAAATCATATTTAATGTATGTTGTTGACCCACTCATCTTTAACTCATGTTCAACAGTGCTAGGTACCCCATGCCTGAACAATGCTCATCAACCATATTTATTTGCCCTATAAGGCACAGTCTGACTTTCTTGTTCTTAGGGCACTAAACAGCATCTCAGCATTACCTCGAGGGCCATTTTAAATAGTCACATTACCAACAAGAAGTGCAAAAATGTAAAAAATGTGACACAAAATAGGCCACATACGGGACACTTATTTACACTCTGAGAGCTGAAACAAGACAGCAGAACTGCCCCTCGTTTGGCCTCAGTTAGGAACATGCACAGGTGACTCTGCACGTATGTGAATGATCACAAAAGCACCAGCACTGATGTTTTATGTTACAAATGAACGTCAGTGAGTAGGAGACTTTGCAAATATCTTGTCCATGGAGATTGCACTCCAGCTCTTTGTTTTGCCTTTTTCCTTCTGTTCCCTTAAACAGGTGAGGGGCCGGGAGACTTACGAAATGCTGCTGAAGATCAAAGAGTCCCTGGAGCTCATGCAATACCTTCCTCAGCACACGATTGAAACCTACAGGCAGCAGCAGCAGCAGCAGCACCAGCACTTACTTCAGAAACAGTGAGTGTGTCTGTGTGTCGTGTTGGGAGGCATGAGCAAGGGGGGCTGTTTTTGTTGTCAGCAATAGGGAACGTGATGGGCTACGGCAACACTGACATCGTGAGACAGCCGAGTGTGATAGGTCCAGGCCAGCTGGTCTGGTACTCTCTCTCTCTGTTTCAACTTTTTATATGATTTATCAGAACCTTCCCTTGGAGAAGTGTCACCTGTGCTCTGACACCGACTCCGGACCATTTCTGGTGACTCACAGAGAGAGACTCACACTAATGGAATACGTTCTCTTTCACTATTTCTGCTCCATACACATCTGTCAATAAAAGAATTTTGAGTACACAGTCTAGCCTAGTAATATGTGTATATTGAAAAATACAAAGTCTTCCCTCACCCCAGTGGATTGTCTCATACATATCCTGGGATGCACTGTGTCCACTTCTGGGAATACTGCTGCAGACAGGGATAGCAAATAGGTTTTTACTACGAAGTTTCTTGCGTGAGTGTTTTGTTAAGAAGGACTCTGAGACCTAGTACATGCTTACTGGGAATATGTCTGGATGTAGGACAAAGTAGCACCATATTGCTAGGTTTAGTATCCTGGCTCTGTGTTGTCTTCCAGCAATACATGTCTACATAACTGTGCCCAGATTTCACAATCATATCAGCACATACACACAGCCCAGTTTTTCTAGAAAAAGACTCATTTATTTATTTGAAATGCAGTTGTGGAGAGAGAAGGAGAGACAGAGACAGAGAGAAATAGAAATAGAGATCTTCTGTCTGCTGGCTCACTCCCCAAATGGCTGCAACAGCCCGGGAAGGCTTCATCCAGGAGTCAGGAGCTTCTTCAGGGTATCCCAAATGGGTGACAGGAGCCTAAGTACTTGGACCATCTTCCACTGCTTTTACCAGGCCATTAGCAGAGCACTGGATTGGAAGGGGGGCTCCAGGACATGAACTGGTGCTCATATGGGTTGCCAGCATCACAGCTAACGGCTGTACCAGCTATGCCACAATGCTGGCCCCATACACAGCCTGTTTTTATGTTACCTTTTACCTAGACTATTGGATCTTTAATGATGTTAATTATTTTATGACTAATAAGAATTGAATAGCTGTGATGAAAGGATAGAAGGTTGGCTAATCAGGACTCTGTTTATACTTACATTTCAGTGGTTAAAAATAATCACTTATTAGCTTAATTGAGATATTGTATATGTGTTAGAAATATTGCCAGATTCTCTGCAGATAATGTAAAATATACGCATTTTTGAGTCCATCTGAGTACTTTAAACATTCAACTTTGCAGGCAAAAAGAAATGAAGCCACACTGTTCTCTAGGTTTAAATAAATAAATAAAAATGGAAAAAAATTTAAAAAAAAATGAAGCCAATAACTATCTTTCCTGAGGCAAAGAATATCTTGTACAATAGAAATGCAAATGAGCAATAAATAAGTCTCCTGGACTAATATCTTGTTAGCTACTATAAGGGAGACAGCTATAGAGAGTATAATAAAGAGGAACTCCTTAGTCTGTTGTTGTTTTTTTTTTTTTTAATCAACCAAAGTCAGTTTGGGCTGGAATACATCTCAGATATTCAGGGGGCATCCCAAAGCATCTGTTGACTATGGGGTGAAGTGGGAAGCAGAGGAAGAGAAAAGAGGTGTGCTCTGTCTTCAAAGGACTTTGAATTCCTGATGTGTTTAAGACCCTTTTTGGCTGGGAGGGATCTCACCATTTACTGTTTAGCATGAAAGTTTTGGAAACTGAAATTATATGGGGTTTTTACCTAAGGCTGAGCAGAAAGTTTAATTAGCTAATTCCTTGGGGACACAAAATATTCCAAAGTAGAATTAGAACTCAGGGTTGCAGACAGAATTCCTATTGCCCATCATGTAAGTTTGTTGGGAAATCATTATGGAAATACATGTTAATATATTCTGATGCAAAATCAATTTAGTTCTTATAAAAGCTGTTCAACAGGGATCAAAGAAATAGAGACCTGTAACATCCTTTATAGACCCAGAGGGAAGAAGTGCCTTTCCCAAGATAGGTACATTGCGGGATTAAGAAACACTCCCAAATTGTTTCCAGTTCACTGTGGAAAAGTTTGACTCTGCCAAAATGACCCCAGGAAAATTGCACATAATGTACTATGCTGAACTGGTTGCTCTGTGATCCTGTTGCCTATCTTTTTTCCCGTTCACAGGAAAAGGTCTGACCATTTAGCACAAAGATAGGTCAGCTTTTTCCCCTGCTATATAGTACTGGTGATAAATACTAAATTGATGGCTTTTTATGCCTTATGATCTGTTGCAACTACTCAGTTCTGTGATTCTAGCACAAAAAGACATCTGTCATACATAAATGCAGAGTGAGAGTGGTTGTTACTATAAAATTTTACTTACGGACTCTGAAATTGAATTGCATAAATTCTTACATGCTGTGAAATATTGTTTCCTTTTGATTCTTCCTACCCCATTTAAACATATAAAACCCATTCTCAATTTAGGAGCCAGTTTTGGCCTCATCACTGCCCTTTGCTAATCCCTCTAGTACATAGATGAGTGGCTCTTCTTTGATTGCTTTTTGAGACTCAGATTTTGTTTGATAAGTATAATTAGAAGTTAATATCTTTATCCCAAGATATAGAAGTGTTATGGGTTTTAGAACTTCTAAAGTGAGTTTTCAGTGGCGTTTCATTGTCTAAGAAGAACAGCAGAAACCTTTAACAGAGATCTCTTTCTTCTTAGAAAGTTAGACATGCCCATCAAGAAATGCAATATAGCTAATGATGCAACCCCATTATCAGATAAGACTAAAATAGCTGATTTATATAACAATTCTAATTGAAGGTCTGCTACATGAAAGCATTAAGGAAAGAGAAGAGAAAGATGGAGTTTCTGCCATCCCTTATCTGGCAATGTAATGGGGAATTCCTAACCAAAATGCCTTTTGAATTTTAAGAAAACTCTGGAAGTTTGGAAGTTTAGTCTCAGCATTATATAAACTAATAGGACAATTTTAAACAGCTTCTATAGATCATATAAGAAAGAGAATTGTTTACTATGATTTTAGAGATTTTGCAAGCCAGGAGGATGAGCATAAATCACAGGCCTAAGCTGTTTGTGTTTGTTGAAGTGACACATAAAAATGCATATTTGTGTGCACCTACATGATGAGTGACACAGTGCTTCCTGTCTGACTAGCTTACATCGCTCTAATGGGAAATGTATTATTCATATTTCAGATAGCATTCCATTTCATCTGAGAAGAAAATATATCTTAAAACTGTGTTCTTTAAAACAGCCCAAAAGATTTTAGGAACTTGTTTTCATTTTTTTTTTTTTTTGCATGTGTGGTCACAGATAAACAGTGAGAAATGAGTAACCTTTTAGATCCTTGGTGTGATTATTTGAAAGTATCATATGCATGTTTTTGAGTTATATCTCACAGCTGTGGTAACTTGTGCATGAGAATCTAACAAGCTATAAAATGAAATCTTTGCAAAATATAGATATTTAGACTAATTATGCCTTTGCAACATTATACATATGAGGGTCTCCACTGAGTGATATACATCAACATAAATCCTCTAGTTGATGTATTCTTCAGCTGAGGTTCTTTTATTTTCAGCTTTTTGTTTTCATGTAATCTCCAAGAAAGAGCATGAACGACTAGACAAAGAAAATTGGAAATCTAATTTCTTGGCAATAATTTGAAAAGAATAAATCATCTTGGAAAATGCCTTTAACACACTGTGATTTCCTTTCCAAAATATAGTACCAATTTTATGCTGCTAAAGAATCAATTTTGTACTTTCCTTTTCAGTAGAAGGAAAATTAGTGAGAAGGCATATCTTTCTAAAAGGTGGCAATGCCATATTTTCAGTTTAAATATTTTGTTAGTGCCCCACTATGTGTTTTCTCGCTGCCTACTTTTCATTTGTGCATGGTCTTCTTTGTTAAAAGATTCCTTCAAAATTACCTTCATGATCATAGGCATTTATGTAAGATAGATTTTACACTGAGTTGTCATGAATCAAATTGTTACAGACAGAAGTAGGCTCTACATTCTTTATAAAGAAATTTGATTTTAGTTGATGTGCCCACATTGGTATAAATATATGCGGTTATGTTTACAGAAGCCAGTATTTACAGGGAAGACAAATTGGGCTCCCTTTTTGCATTAGACTTCTTGCCTTTATGTTTTCAAGGAATATTAATGCTTAAGATGGCTTATGGAAGCCATTTGACACCTATTTAGCAGTCTTTGGATTTCTGTATTTCAGACCAAGTCCATCTTTTTTTTTTTTTTTACTTTTTCCTGTAGTTTACCCTATATCTTGGTTTCTGTCCTGTCCTAATCTCAGACCAACATCAATTTGTCCTAGGTTTGTTTATAGCCTAACTCATGCTTTTCTCTGGAAAATTATTTTTACAGTTTCTATAGGATAGACTTCATTTAAATTTGAATGTGAATGTGTGACCCTGTGCCCTTAATATTTTCCTTTATCATTTGATAATTGTAGCTCAATAGTAATACAAGCCAAGGAATAGTCCAACAGCACAGAATCTTCAAGGCTATCAGGTCTCTCACACTGTACCTGATACCCAGTGACTACACGTGTACTGTGATTTCATATCCAGTTCACACTAGAGTTATAGAATAAGATTGGAACATAGAGCTCTTCTCTCTGCAATGTTTTGTCTGCTTAATTAGTTAAGTTGTAATAAAACTAAAGCAATAACTACAAAGATATTTCAAGAAAATTATGGGAAAAGGAATTATATGATGTTTATTTTGATGCAAAAAACCTTTTTTGAAATCCATGCATATAAGGGGTCTTCATAACATTTATGGAAAATGCATATTATAAAAAACTGTGTATGGAATTTTATTTATTTTTTGTTTATTTGAAAGGCAGAGAGAGAAAGAGATAGAGACAGACAGATGTCCCATCTTTTGGTTCACTCCCCAAATGCTCACAAAGCCAAGGGTGGGG